GTACTACGGGCTCAGAGCTGGAAATATCTTTTGGGGGCTACTATTCAGTTTACTACAGGGGCTAAAATAGATTGATATGTTACAACAGATTAGGAGCTCTGGCAAAACTATTTTCATTTTATTATTTGATGACTATACAGATGCATAGTCAGAAAAAAAAAATAAGTAACTCCTCAGATTGCTTTATGGGCTCTGTGGGATGGAGCAGGTTTAGAAAAACTCCAGGCTGGTGGGAGGAGATGAAACGAGCCCAAAGCAGAATCTGTTCACGTTAATAAAGAAACACAAATGAATGTGAAGACAGGAGAACAAAATAACCAGAAGGGAAACTTCAAGATTCACATGGGAAAGAAAGAAAAAAAAGGAAACAAGTATTATTAATGATCATGATGGAGTAAGGAATGAAGTCTTGAGAATATAAAATGAAAAATGAGGGCTGTTATAGTCAAGGCCATACCTATAAATAAAAGTTTATGGGCTTGAGTATGGACCTTAAAAAGGATCTTTAAGTTGCTGCAGGAAATATTTCTTCTTCTTCCAGTTGTGTCTGATGGACTCTCTGATGTGACAACTACTGCCTAGATCAACACACTTCCACCAGTTATTGGCCAACTGACCTTGAACCTCTGACTTCTTGGGCATGCACATGGCCAAGCATAGATTATCTTCTGGCATAGTTCAAATTCTTTGGAAAATCTAGTAGGCTTACCTCACTTATTTAAGTAGGTCACACAAGTCATAGATTACTGGCCATTAAATCAGGTGCTAACTTAATGGGTTGACTATTGATCCCGCATCTATTCACTGTAGGTCAGGGGAAGTCAGACCGAGGGGTCTCAAGGTATGTGGGTCTGTTCCTCCCAGGGTCGTGGCTGGAATAAGCACAAAGTTGTACACATATTAATCAGGTTTGCAAAGGGGGACCATGAAGCAGTGTTCATGCTGTAGAGTGGGGGCGGCTGAAGAAGTGAGCACAGAGAAATCGACTCTCGAAGTCCGCGCAGGGCTCAGCAATGGGAGGCGGCGAGGGCAACAGGAGGGCGATCACGAATTCCAAATGGAGGGAGGGGTCCCACATAAGCCACGCACGTCTAAGACACCTGGACCTGAGATGATCACTCCAGCGATTTTATCAAAACCTTGTGCTAGTCTCAGATAAAAAAACAACCAGAAACCAGAAAAAAATTGAATTTAATCATCTTGTTTAAGGCACAGAGAAATGTTTTCCCATCTCAGTTCTTTAACTGGAAAGCTGGCACCTTGAAAGGAGTTGTTAACAAGTATGCCAGCACTTTAATTTATTAATTGGTATGTTCCATTTTAATTAAAATCATCCTAACTGATCATTCATTTCACTGTGAGCAACACCAGCTGAATAAGCTGCTCTCTCTTTAATTTATTAAGTTTGTATTGTTTTTCCTTCCACCGGTAGTGATTCAAGGGAAACAAACATACCCTTCTGTTCTTGCCTCTGTGAAGAGGCAAGAGCCTCACCTTGGAGTGAGTGGGTTTGGCAGAAACCCACTCATATGAAATGAGCCTCACCTTGGAGTGAGTGGGTTTGGCAGAAAGAGCGTGGGCTTTCAAATTCCTATGGGGGGTTTGGACGTAGGCTATGCCACTTGTGAACCTTGTGACCATGAGCAAATCTGATCCTCAAATTTTCCTACCTGCAAATGGGGATAATAATAGTACTCTCTTCAGAGATTTCTTGTGAGGATTAGATAAAATAATAAAAGCAAAGAAGCAGGTTATATAATAGTCCCCATTACCCTACAACTATCCTACTTACAGGGGGTAGCACCTCCTTATCCATCAAGGCTCAGCTTAGCCACCATCTCCTCTCTTTGACTATTTGTCCATCCCTGTTATATGACCATATCCGACTCTTCCAGTTACTTATGTACCCACCCGGGGTGCCCCACGAGTGGGCAATTGCAGTTAAGACTGAATACTTTTTATTCTTTTAACGTACAGACAGTATATTTTCAAATGACTACCAAGTCAGTAGGACATAAACACTTACTAAATTGTTTGGATACGCCATAAAAAAATCAGGCTCTTCTTTTGGCCTAGATGTGCTGTGAAAAATATTACTGAGATGCTAAGGGTGCTCACCTTGAACCAGGAGAGTTCAGGAACCTGTGTATGGAGAAATGATGGTGTTCTGAATGGGGGAAACGTCAGTGCTCATTATTAGTGTTACAATGAACTTCACAGTTATAACAATGCTGTAAAAACTAGCTAACAGGTAATTGAACCCTTATTTCCCAGGCACTGTCATGAGCATTTGGGTGTGCTTAAAGGGGTCACACGTATTAGTTCCTTTACTCCCCCAACACCCCTAAAACAAACGTGTATTTCCCTGAAGCACAGGAAACTGAGGCCTGTAGAGGATGAGTAACTTGCTTAAAGTTGCAGAAGGGGCGGATCCTGGAGCTGGGATTCAAATCTAGGCAGTCTGACTCCAGAAGTAGGGCTGTTAACCACCTGCTGACCAAGGTGGCAAGGATGCAAAGGAGACAGGGCTGAGCCTTCTGGGTGGCAGAAGCTACAGAACTGACAGATGTTAAGGACTGGAGAGCATCGGTGTTCGGGGACATCCATCAAACTGACTTTGCAAACTGACCCACAGCCTGCTGACTCAGGCGACTCAGGGAGATGTGTGCACCTGTGGTCCTGACTCTGACCCTTGCTTTTCCTTATTGGAAATGTGGCATCCACCAAAGCAAGCAACAAATGGTCGGAAACTTTCAGGAGTTTAAGATGGAACTTTATTAGCCAAAGCTTTACCTGCGCAGGGGCGAACTCTCGAGGTGTCCGGAGACACGGTGCCCAGAGGGCTGCAAATGAGAGTCGCGCCTGGCGCGTACAGCCTAGGGTTTTTATTGGGGTGAGCAAGCAAGCAAATACAGAAGCAGATGTAGCCATTAGCGATTGGCTATCTCGAGGGAACACACATGGCTCTGCTTTCTGCTTGCAGCAGTGGATACTTTTCTGCAAAGACAAGGTCATGCACAGGTGGTTATCTTGTTCAGCACTCTTTGTACTTTCTGTATTTTCTATCTTCCTTGCTGAGTCTGGAGCCTGCCTCGGGTTCCTTGTTCCTCTTAGCTACTTTTATCTAATTCCGGACCTAACAGAAACTGGCCAAATGCAGCTTTATCCAAGGAAGTGGGCACTGAATCCCTGAGCTTGTCGCTGGTCTGTGTCCACATCAGTCGGCCCACACAGGTGGCCACTGTCCCAGTGTGACAGGATGCAAAAGGGAAGGAGGTTCACAGCCTGGTGCTGCTGAGGGCACTCCCCACCGCCATGCTTCCTGAGTCTGGTTTGTTCAGTGACTTTTACAGATTCCCTGAGATCAGCACCCTGCCAGTACGTGTTTCTTTTATTTGAGCCAGATTTGCTACACATTCTTGCCTTTTAACCAAAGGATGTTTAACCAGAAGAGAGATATCATAAAATACATGGCTGAAAAGGGTGGGTGAGGGAACAGTGCCTCTACTGCTAAATATTTTAGCTTCTTAAACTCAGGGGCTATGTGTGCCTTTCTGATCTCAGGCTTCAGCAGGGCCAGTTCCTCAGAACCCAGGCAGGTTTGCGGAGTCCACATAAAAAGTTCCGAAAGGCGACACTGCACCACCTGGGAGGCCAACAGCCTACCTGGCAATCGCCCTGCTGTCAGATTGTAAACACACATTTGCAAATGCCTCTGTAATTGTTCAGAAATAATTTAGGCCTGTCCGAATGGTAATGGGGAACCTTACCCAACATCTGCTTTCATGGCTGGAGCCTGATTTGTGCTGTTTCAACACTTACGGGGATAAAACAGCAGAGTGGGTACTTTCCTCTGCCAGCTCTCAGAAAGTAAAAACAGCGGCCATGGGCAGCTGTGCAGCCGTTTGATGGGTTTAGTGCAGGCCTCGCATTCTTGGCGACCATGTCTTACTAAAACACGGTTTGGCTTTCTAAAAATGTAGTGTACCAGTGAGATGGGCAGTCGCCATCACACAGTTAAGGCTGTGTTGTTTCACTCACCTGCTTCCCGGTCCTTGTGCAGGATGGTTCGTACCATAATTCAGCTAAGAAATTCCCACTAAACGTAAAGCATGACATATGGACATGCCCATGTCAGAAGTGGTAGATCTCCTTGCAATTCAGAACTTTTGTCTTTTTGACTTCGATGTGGGGCTTATGCTTGAAATTGGTGTTTTCCTGCTCATCATCTTGAGCTAGATATACCTTTTTCCCGATTGGTAGGCACACAGGCCACTTGTACTCCTTCATTTCAGCTGCTCTGGATGGTGACTGCCGAACCCCACCAACATCCAAGGGTGTCCTGTGCCTGCCACAGAACCCGTATGTTAAATGTCACAGCTCATCCAAACTCTAACTGCTGGCAAACACCTCAAGTTTCGGTGCTTATCCATCTGGCCATTTTCACGTGTTATGGTATATTCCTTAGGGTTATAGCTCTGCTCAGGCAAAGTGACTCCGAATTATGGCGGCAGGAAGGTAACAGTTTTATTGTCGTCCTGTGTCATCATCCCAACTCTCATGTGAACAGCCCAGGGTGGTGGGCTGCTTTGCTCGAGTCATTCAGAGAACTAAGCTCTTACCATCTTTTGGTCCTGCCATTCCCCCAGGAATTCTCTTTACCTATATGATCAAGGGCGGGTTGCAAATAAATCCATGTTGCAGCTCATGGAACGGGGGGAAAAGTCCGGGGAAGGTGGCTTATCTCTTCAATTGTTGAAGACCTGCCAAGGGAACTGTCATTCATATCCCATTGGTCTAAACTAAGTTCCAGAGCCACATTTAACCACAAGGGATCCTGGGTAATGCTGTTTCTACCCGGAGCTTTGGGCTTCATGTCAACTCTCCTGCGGTGGGAGAAAGGGGCAACAGATACTGATGGCTGGCCAGAAGTTTCTGTCACATGTAACATCAGACAGAAAGAGATATTACCTCTTACAAACGAGATAAATGCCATGTGGTCATATAGTCAACAAATATTTATTAAGTGCCTACTGTGTGCCAGATATATTTCCTTACATGTGTAAGAAAAATGGTGCTAATACACTGTGAGAGAAATTATGCAATACTATAAACACATTTTCCAATTTTGAAAGACTTTTGCTATTTCAGAAAACAGAGGGAAACTGAAAACAAGGCAAGGTTTTTTTATCTTCATATTGCAGGAAAAATTCTCACCTGTCAAATTCCACCAGCTAGCATTACAGTGGTTCTGCGGATAAGCACACGAGAAAGCTGCTTAGACAGTTATATGGATGTTGGTCTCATAAATCAAAACTTGCTTGTGGCATGATTATGAAACCACAGGAAGGATTTTTCAGAGGATGATATTAGATCATTGAGATTAAATTCAACCTCAAAGGTCGGGTGTTTTTCCAAAATAACTAAGGCAATGAAGAGAGCATATTTTGCAGTCATCCCCTTGATACAGTAAGTCACACCGTCTTCAGGGTCTGTGTACTCGAAACAATGAGAAAGCAAGCGGCAACCATACCGCATCACATGGTTCTGGTGGTAAGCGCGCGGATGCAGGAAGTACTCTAGAGGCACCAGGAACACATTCTGAACTTCATCAGGGTTAGGCTGGGCCTGGAAGTTGTGGTCTATAAACCCGACAACGGGTGTTATCAATATGTTTCTCTAAAAGCAGAAAACAAAATACAGAAATTAACAAGTAAAGAGATACTGTTTCAAATGCTAAAGTCATGCCACTTCCACCTGGACTAAGAAAACAGCTGAAGCAGTCAGTACAGGAGGTGGGTTGGGGAGGAGGGAAAACTTGCGGCAGATGTAAACTTTATGATGTAAACTTTACAATGTAAACTTTACGTCCCCCATGAAAGGGGGTTGCCTCTGCCCTATCTTAGGCAGCATCTGTGAGATAACTCTGAAACTACTTTGTCAACATAAGTAGGTACAATCTTTTGGAATGGCAATTTTGCATTATAAAAGTATGGTCTCTCTGACTTAGCAATTGAGTTTGTGTTAAGTATATCTGTATGACAAATTCCTACCAGAGAGAAAAGATACAAGTATATCAGATCCTATAATCACAGTGTTTCAATATGCCATTGATGCGATGCTGTGGGAACTTTGTTTATATCAACTGTCCTATGGGAAAACTGGTTTCCTTAGATGGTGGCTCACTTAAAGTTGCAGAGCTTATCAACGATGTTCAGTGAGGACTTAGCTGCACAAGACTGAAACATTATTTGCAATAGCCGAAAACTCTAAAGTTACCACTCCTCAGATGATGGAAATTTAGGGTAGGTCAATTATGAGTATAGCCACATAATGGGATTCCATGCAGCCCATTATGCATTAAAACAAAGCAAAAAATTTTTAAAGCACCATGCATTAAAAAATGCAAAAGATAACTTTCCCTATCGGTACAGACACAGATGTGCCATCTTATCGATAAAGTGACATCACATTAATTGTGACATACTCCCATTTATGGGAAATTATAATCATCTATGAACTGTTTTACCCATATGTTTATATGAGAGGATTTCTATTTACAATCACGACTCCTTGCAAATAAATGTAGGGCACTATCAAGTGAAAGATTCTACTGGAAGTTTTGAGGGGGACACCTGGGGTTAGTGTAAAAACAACCACAGGGTTCCACAGCACCCAATTTGAAAACCATCCATGCAGTTAGTTCCCCTTTTATTTCCGCATGGTGCAAGAGTGGCCTGGATAAGACATGGGGCTTTCCCAAGGCTGCTCGGCTTGTAGGAGGCAAAGCCACACAACAACCAGTCTCTCGGGGACATGTCCGGCCACCCTGAAGACAAGGGGTGCTCATGAGTCTTAGCAACCCCTTTCTTTTCCAACTCTTACATCAAACACACACGGCACCAGGCAGCAGACGACCTCCACCTGCTGAGGGCGCAGCCCCACTTCCTCCTGGGCTTCCCGGAGGGCCGTGGCCACGTCATCCACATCTGCAGGGTCACGCTGTCCTCCAGGGAAGCACACCTCTCCAGGTGACCGTCTGAGCTGGACAGGGGAAGAACAGAGCTGCACTGTGTGGCTCCGATTTCGGAACCATCCATTCATTCAACAAGTACTTCCCGCACCTATATTTTGGGCTAGACACCATTCTTATGATGGTGGGGATAGGTGGGGAATTGGAGCAAAAGAGGAAATGTTTTTACTTGAATCCTTTTTTAAAAAAGTGAACTTAGAGAACTTCTCTCCCTGTTAACTATTCCCTACAGACCCCCCAAAGATGCCACACACACATGCGTGCACACACAGATTTACACTGCTGGGCACAGCTGAAAGGGCGCTGAACAGGCAATGTTACCAATGGGTAACTTGACCGAGTGAGTGTGCTTACCCTGTTCTGGACATGCTGCTTCACAAGGACTTTTTGCAGAGTCATCGGAACAGTTTTATAAGCTTTAAAACAAATTTTTTAAATTTACTTCTTAGAGAGAGGAGAAGGGAGGAAAGAAGAGAGGGAGAGAAGATCAATGTGCAAGAGACACCTCAATCGTTTGCCTCTCGTGCATCTCCAATTGGGGAACCTGGCCAGCAACCCAGTATGTGCCCTGACTGGGAATCGAACCTGCGACCTTTTGGTTTGCAGGCTGGTACTCAATCCACTGAGCCATAGCAGCCAGCGCTAGTTTATTTTTTTAAATCAAGGTGAAATCTGTAACATAAAGTGAACATACAGTGACATTTAATACGTTCACAACATCACACAATATTACCACTATCTAGTTCCAGAACATTTTCATCTCCCCAGATGGAGACTCTACCCACTGGACAGCAGATCCTCACTTTCTGTCTGTGGAGTCACCTCTCCTGGACAGTCCCTGTAAAGAGAATCCTGTGACGCACGACCTTAGGTGTCTGCTCCCCTCGCCTCGCGCTTCACGGTTTCGAAGTTCCTCCAAGTTGCAGCACGTGTCAGCACTTCTTTCGGTTTTATGGCTGAATAGTCTTCCGCTCTATGTACGTACCACAATTATCTATCTTTCCATTAATGGACATATCCGTTACTGAAATACCGTTCTTTCCATTTGTATATAAGGGAACTAAGCCTCAAAGAGCTTCAATAGCCTGACCCGATTCAGGCTACTGAATTCAGGTAAGACGTGAGTAATGGAGCTGGAGTGTAAACCAGCATTTTCGCTCTGGAACACACCACACATTTATTACCTCCTCCCACGGAAAACGTGGTCCCCGTACCACCAGCGCTGCCCTGTGTCAACGCTGCCGCACCTCTGCACGCATGGGTGAAGGGGCAGGAGGCTCTCTGCCTGCCTCGCCCCCGCTCATCCTAAATACCTTCCCCCTTTTTTTAATCTCTGCCCTTAAAATGTTTTCTCTCCTATCTTGGGCACGGGTGGAGAAGCACAGACCCTCCATGCCTCTCTCCTCTAAAGGACCGAACTTCTTAGCAAACGTGACTGTTTCTTTCACACTCACTCCCGCTGTGCCCACTGCCCTTTCTCTCCTGCACTGTTGTGACCTCAGGGCCGGCCTCCTGGCCCGGCCTCTTCTCCACCCTGTGCGGTGAGCGTAACCGTGGCACCTACCTCCCGGGTCGTGGAGTCGTTTACAGGAGCTGCCGGCTGAAGCACATGGCGCAGCACCTGGCCCATGTGAAACATTTATTCATGAGAATGCGTAAGGAGAATTCTTGATGTTTGGAAGCTAAATCAAGAGGTCATGTAGGCATTTTTTAGCACCAGGCCCAATATATCCTTGTAAAAATAAACTAGATGCCGTTATAAATATTGTCGCATTCTACTGCTTAAAGCCTCATTTAGGCAAACTTTTTAAAAAACGGAAGAAATCATTTTAAAGTTCCTCTCTGCTAATAAATCAGTACCAAAAAAAGCAAGTTCAAGATCAGTAACAACACAGGAACTGCTGCAATACACAGAAACCTCACACATCTCCACATCAATGTTAGTTATAAGTGTAGGTGAAAACCAGGTTGATGGACATGTTCCTACTGCCTTGACCACTCACCACCCAAATGCCTAAGAGAAAGACCTACGGCTGCATCACTGCTGAAAACTACCTCCATGGTGTTAGCACAGCAGCAGCAAGGCATCGGTGCCAGAGGCCCCTGCAGGGGCGCATCAGGCTCGACAGAAATACACACCTGACTAAATGACTATTTTAAATGCTTGTAAGAAAATGTTATGCCGCCCTGGTGGTGTGGCTCAGTGGACTGAGTGTGGGCCTGCAAACCAAAGGGTCACTGGTTCGATTCCCACTCAGGGCACATGCCTGGGTTGCGGGCCAGGTCCCCAGCAGGGGGTGTGCGAGAGGCAACTACACATTGATGTTTTTCTCCCTCCCTCTTTCTCTAAAAAATAAATAAATAAAAATCGTTTTAAAAATAGAAAATGTTATGCAGTTTTAAAGAAAATATTTATAAAAATGATTATTCACAAACTGTCAGCACCAAAGAGACCTTATCTAAGTAAAGAAGTTTTCAATCATTTTATTTTTTTCGTAAATAGCATAACATTTTTATTAAATAAAAGCTTATGGAATGCTACTCACAGCCAAATAAGGTTGCAACCGAATTTCCTAAGACTTTCATCTATTTTTTTGCTTGACTTTCTGTTTGCTTAGTTCAAGCCCTAGAGAGTTGGGAGCGGAGAGAAGAGACAGGAGAGGAGGGAGAAGGAAGAGGAGGGGCAGGGAAAGGAGAAAACTGATGAGGCTCAGGGATGAAGAACTTTGCTCCGGGTTCCAGAGCCAGCAGGGGAGCCCCCACTTAGACAAGAGGGACCGTTGGCACGCACCCCCTTCTCCATCTAGGAGACAACAAATGGGGACCCAGCCTTCGGGACTCCAGGGAGAGGCCAAGTGCAGGTGACGCCTGTGGGAATTTCCTGACCCCAAAGCCAGATATGCTCAGAGCCCAATTTAATTAAATTTAAATACTTTTTAAAAAATGTGACTTTTGCATATCAGCATTTATGGTCTAAGGTGATTCTCACTTAATAATCAATAAGGCAAAGATACTTGAAACAGAGACCAGAGGCCCGTTTTGGTCTAGATTTTCTCCATTATTTTTTTTTTTTAATTAAAGAAGTATGTCGAAGTGCTTCTGTGCTTTCTGGCAGAGCTGGGAACAGAGCTCCCCACCCCCCAGTTCCGAGTTAAGTGTCTCCCTCGGAGAGGGAGCCTTCATCATCTGACCCACACAGGAGAGAGGGAATGCACACAAGTCTAATCCCAAATCCACAAAACTCCCGCTGAGTTCTCAGCTTGCTTTCTTCCTCCCCTACATCAAGACGTTTTGTTGTTCTGCTTAGAAAGACACTTTAGTAGGGCCCATTTTCTTTTTTGTACTTGAAGAACTGAAATTCCTGCTTACCAACTCTTCCTCGGAAGTCCCCCTAACAGCCAGGGACAGTGACCATGGCCGGTGTGACCCAGGGGAACTGCACGCCCGGCACAGCATTTCTTTAATGGTGTATCTGAACACCTTGAACACCTTGAAAGGTGTATCTGAACACCTCAGGCCATGACCGCTAACGGCCCTAGTGATGATGAAGGCTGAGATTTTCCGAGCCCTTGCCCAATGCCAGGACTGCTGCAGGCACTTTGCCTCCATTCCGCTATGAAATCCTCGAAGCAGCCCTATTGAACAGGGCTCATATTTCTGTCCTCATTTTGCAAATGGAGCGATCACAGCACAGAGAGGGCAACTACATGAGACAAAGTCACACAACACAGTTGGCAAGGAGAGAGCCTGCATTCAAACGTGTGGTGAAATTGCCTCCCCCCCGCCCCCCGGGTCCTGCCAGGACAGTAGTCAGCCTCTGAAGACATTTGTGACTGTCACAAAGGGGTATGTGTCTGTGTTACTGGCACCTAATGGGGAGGGGCCAGGGATGATGCTAAACATAAATCCCATGATGCACAGGGCAGTGCCCACAACAAGGTGTTATTTGGCCCAAATGCCAAAGGCATCAAGGTTAAGAAACCCTGGTCTAAATGTATTTTAAATTATTTATTTTTCTTTTCAAAGCTTCAAAAATGCCATGTTATTCTGTGGCCCCCTCAAACATCACAATTTTGAAAGTCCATTTGGGAATCTCTTGCCTTAAAATGTGTGCAAGTAATAAAATTTCATGGGATTTTCAAATGTCCTGAGACGTTAATGGCAGAATCTTTTAGTCACCTACCTTTTCTGAGCGGAGGGTGAACAACAGGTGAAGTTTTCCTTCTTTAACCAACAATGGTAAAAGGATGGAACATTTACTATACGACAAGTGAGAATACTTGGTCCCAGCATCGTGCTTTTTTAAGCGGGCCTTAGCATCATCTATCAAGTTGTTTCTAAAAGGGAAACAAGCCAAACATTATCGTACCAGGGTGACAGTAAAAATCTCCTTGTCCTGCCTATGATTCTGCTTCATTGTGTAACTTGACGTTTACCATTGCTGAGTCTCAGCGTATTTTTCAGTAATAGGGCAGAAATAATACCCAAATCACATAATTTTTGGCAAGATAAAAAAACTACAGTAGTCCACTTTTATCTTCCATTTTACTTTCTGTGGTTTCAATGATCTGTAGTCCATCTCAGTCCAAAAATATTAAATGAAAAATTCCAGAAATAAACAATTCATAAGTTTAAAATTCTACATAGCTCTGGGCAGCGTGATGAAATCTTACACTGCCTAACACCATCCCACGGGGGACGTGAGTCATTCCCTCATCCAGGTTATCCAGGTGTGTTCCTGCTACCTGCCCATCAGTCACTGAGTAGCCTTCCTGGTGATCCGATCGACAGCACCACAGTGCCTGTGTTCAACAGCCCTTAGTTTACGTGCCGATGGCCCCAAAGCACGAAAGCAGTGCTTTCCGAATTAAATTTAAATTATGATAAAATGTTTTAATAATGCAACAAGTTACTTGCTGAAATCCATAATTATGTTCAGGTCAGACAGGTTTGCTGAGTAAGTCACTGTAAATTTACAGCATAGTAAAATTAAGGACTTTCCCTTAATCTGGCCCTTATGTCATGTTATTAAGTATTCCTTTTTTTTATCACATATTCAACTGCCTTAAAACAGCAGTTCCCAGACTTTGGCAGCAAGAGAATCACCAGCAGAGCAGACTACATACAACACAGATTGCTGGGCCGGCTCTACAACTGTCACTCAGCAAGTTGGGGGTGGGGCCTAAGAGTTAGCAGGTATCCAACTCCCAAGCCACGGGGATGCTGCAGACCAGGGGAACACACTTTGAAGATATTACCTGAAAATATGCAAGTGTTTGGATTTGTGACCACAAATGGTGCCCTGAATTTATGGCTGTGAATTTGTTTTGGCCCCTTCTGAAAGGAGGATTGTGTTGCCAATTTGTGTAGTGGGTTAAATAGTGTCCACCCAAAACCTCAAATGTGACTTGACTTGGAAATAGGATTTCTGTCGATGCAATTCATTTATGATTTAAGATGAAATGATCCTGGACTTAGGGTGGACCCTGATTCCGATGAGTGGTGTCGTTACAAAAGAGGACAGCAGATAGAGACACACAGGGAACAAGGCCATGTGAATATGGAGGCAGGGACTGGCTGTGATGCTGTCACAAGCCAGGGAACAGCAGAGCCACCAGAAGCTGCAACAGGCGAGGAAGGACCCTCCCCTAGAACTTTCAGAGGGAGAAAGACCCTGCCAACACCTGGAGCTTGGACTTCTAGCTTTCAGCACTGTGAGAGAATTTCTGTTTTCTAAGCTACTCAGATCGTGGCACTTTGTTATTGACAACCAATAAATAATTTCATTTTTCTATGGGAAAGGCAGTGGTTTCGCATAGTGGGCAAAAATCAGATGTTCAAGTCAGCTGGAACTGGTTTCAAAATGTTCACAGATGACCTCTCCAACCCACTCTTTCCTCATCTGTGACATGTCTGGAAATATCTGTGAGGATTTAGGGACATAATTCATATACTGTGGCTGGTACTCAGCTAGTGGCCTATGAACGGTGACTACTATCATAAATGTCCCCATAATTAAATGAGCAGTTGCTTGCAGGAGGTATTTCTCCTTTTTGCCTCTTCCTACATGGCAGGGTGCTTACTAATAGCCATCGGATAATGGCTGTGAATGGCAAAAACGACCAAAAGTCTTGAAAATAATCACTGAGCGCTGGCACCTGAGGGCACTCCAGGGTGCATCCCAAGCACACAGGCCCACGTCCAGAAGAGGAAGCTTGCCGGCCCAGTGACGATGGACTTGACCCAGTGTGGCTTCTAAGAGGCCCCCATAACTAACCAGAGGGTCCAGCAGATGGTCTGCAAAAATGTGTTTGACTACATTAGGGGCCGATCCCTGGAATAATCACCATAAAAACACCAACAACAGTAGCAGCCAACCTGTTGTGAGCACGGGCTTATTCCACACTCCTGCCTTGCTTTTTTCTCTTTATCCTCACAACAGCCTGGTGAGGTGAGCGCATTACCCGGTCCAGGTCAGAAAGGTCAAGTAACTGAGACACCCAAGGTCCTCACTGGAGGTAGCCACCGGGGAACCTGAATTCTGGGTCGCTTCCTACGGACTCACGTAGTTCCTAAGGTCAAAGTCTGGAGACGTAAGGGGCAGAAGAGGTGAGCCGGGCGCGCAGAGGAAAACTCTTTGCCCTTGGGGGTGGGAACGTGAACCTCTGATGGGTGTTAACTCAAAATGTATAGGGCCGGAGAAGGTGCAGAGATCCTGGGACCCTGCGGGCGTCCAAGGAGGCGAGAGCGCCGAGCGCGGGCTCAGCAAATACAATCTCAGGCAAAAGGCCCCGGCGACCGGCGACCCACGATCTGTTAGCGCCTGTTCCGATCAAGTCCGGGCTCAGTGCACTCGGGGCCACGGGGTCTTTACCTGACTGACTCTGGAGGACAGGATCGTGCCATTGTTCGGAAAGTTTGTTTCCAGCAGCAAATTCCCCGGAGGTGTTCCACTCGGCGAGCAGGCGCAGAGCTGCAGTGGGACGGCGGAGGGAAGAAAGGCGGGGCCTGGGGACGGAGATAAGGCGGGGCCAACGGCCAGAGAAGGAATGGAGCAAGGAACTTGAGGGAGTGGGCGGGGCCTAGCGCGGTCAGCGGAGAATTGAGGCGGAGCGACCTTAAGGGTGGGGCTGGAGGGAAATAAGACCCGGCCTTCGGGATCGGCTCAGCTCCTTGCTCTATCTCGAGAACGACGGGCGTATGAGGAATTCTGAAGCTGACAGTTGTAATAAAGGAGAAAAAATGTGAAAATGCAGTGCTGGTGAGTTGAGAGTATTCACTGTTGCTAGGAGGTTAAGCTGGTTCAGCTTTTCTAAATAGCCAGCGGCACGCATTTATTGAGCACTTGCTATGTGCAGATGCCACACCATGCGGATCTTAATGTCAAGTGGCAGAGAGAGGGAGAAAGTAATAAAACAATATTACATAGATAAAGCAGAGCCCTTTAGTCCTTGGAGAATATCTGACGGAGAAACATGACCAACGCAGATCAGAGAAGCCTTCCCAGAGAAAATGGAAATGGCAGGCCTCCAGAGCAGCTGTGCCCCAGGGTAGTTCAGGCCCAGCAGCATCAGCACCACCTGCATGCTGTTAACATACAGAGTCTTGGATTCCATCCCAGAGCTGCTGGATCAGAAACTGGGGTAAGGCCAAGTGATCTGTGGGTAGGAGATGCTGATGTTCAGAGAGCCACTGCTCTCAGCTGTGTGTGGAAAATAAACAAGGGAAGGGAGTGGGCAGGGGAGAGAGAGTTCGGGAAGAGCCCCAAGTCTGTGCCAAGACTCCATGCTGTGCGACGACCCCCAGAGGAGCAGCTCCAGAAGAGCCGGAGAGAGGGCGCCTAGGGGGAGCCCACGTGTAAGAAGTCAGATTTCAGGGACTTGAGGCCAGGCTGACTTCTGTATCCCTGCAGAAGGTGCACTGGCTGGGACCCACGATAATGCTTTAATTTTAATTTCTTTTAAAATCAGGAGAAAATGAATACAGTAATAGCCAATATAAGATAATAAATCTAGCCAGGATTACATTCACCTTTATATCAATACAGTCATAAAATAGAATTCATTTTATTATTATTTTTTGAGGAAGGGGTTTATAAAACCAAAATTGCCTAGGGCCCATGAAATTCTGTGGGTCCCAGGGTTGTGGGACCGTGGAACCAAAATTCCGAAATCCATCTGAGCCTAGATGTTCACCTGGTGAGGCTGCCGAAGTTGAGAGAGCCCAAACCAAAAGCTTGATGACATTCTTAATAATAACAGTGATGTCGCCTCACCTACATGTACTTAATCCTCTGAGCAACACCATGAAGTAGGGTTATTTCCATAGAGGTATTAACATCATTACTTTCCAGATCAGGAAATAAATGATTTGCTTAAGTTCACACAGCTTGGGTTCAAGGTTAGATCATTCTGACCTCAGAGTTCATTTATTTCAACATCACCTCACAGAAGCAACCGAACTATGAATTATATGGCTCTGATTATGAATAAGAAGGAGATAAATTAACCTTTCATCCAATATCCACTGCATACTTATTATGTGCAAGGCTTGTCTAAGATGTGACCCCTTGACCTTTAAGGCCTCTTAGTTTACTGGATGTGGTAATAAACATGACTCAGCTCTACTAATGTATAGTGTGTTCTCAGCTCTGTATGAGAAAGGAGGGGAGAGTGGTTCAGAGGGTTGCATTGGGGACTGGAAATTATTGTCTAGGGATTTTATTTTATCTTCTTGTAGACATCCTTTGATTGAACCCTTTGTTTAAAGATGAGCAGACTGAGGCTCAGAGTAGTCTAGTGCCTTGCCCATGGTTACATGGCGGGTGTTGATCCCATCCACTGAGCTGTAGCTTGCACTCTGGTAGGTTTTGAGGGGTAGGTGGGATTTTAAGAGGCCAAAGTGAGGAGATGGCCTTCTTAGCAGAGGGAGCAGCAGAAGCCAAGGAGGAGTGAAGAGCTCTGTTCAGGGGAGCAGATAGAGCAACAGGGCAGGAACAAAGGGGGCAGTTGGCGGAGCAGAGCCCGGGAAACAGGTGAAAAGGTGTTGGAAGCCACAGCAAGATGGAGGTTGACCTTCTTCTTAAAGATAGAGGAATAACAGGTCTGGGTTTTCAGGAAGATCTTTGTGGAATCACAGTGGGTGGATTGGAAGTAGGGAGAGATTGGAGCCAGTTGGGGCTCTTCCAAAAATCTGGCTGAAGGAACCAGAAAAAGAAGCTTTAAGCCTTCTGAAAAAACCCCATACTCCCTACATCAGAAAGACAGTTTGGCAGGGGATGGTCTTACTGCAAAAAGCAGGATCGAGATGTCTTGTGTACCAAGCCTATGTGCTTAGCATCTTCTTTAAGGATCAAAAAGTCTGCTGTAAAAATACTTAGTTTTTATGGGTTTTGTAAGGCTGGCAGCCAGAGCACTGGGAACATCACAGGTGAAATGCATCATAAGATTATATATACATGGTATATACATACATGTATATGTATATCTCAAAACTTGCAAAACAACACAGGCTTCAAGGTTAATGGGCAACGTCTTTAGGGAAGATGACTTGTCTCTGTAGCTTTTGTACATGGATTTGTTGGTAGTGACATAATTCTAGAAAATGTGTGGAAGAGAGAAGCAAAGCTATGCAAAAGTTAAGGGCAGCATGCAAAGCCAACACCTCAACGTGCAGTTCTCTCACAGAAGCTCCCAGAGGCTAGGGTGGACCTTATCTTCAGTTCAGCCGCCTGGAACCTCTATTTGAGCAGCACCTTACAGCCAAGGCTGGGTGCCAAAGAGATTAAGAAACTCCAGCTAGTCTTTGAGAGCAAAGGATGTCTGGGGAAAAGACGTACAACAAACAATTAGCTTTAACGCCAGATAAATGCTCTCATCCAGGAAGGGGGCTAAGTGCTCTGGGGAGTGGGGAGCCACAGGCAAGCAATTAATTCTGCCTGGGAGTAGGCAGTGAGGTCTGGGTAGGCTGTGGAGAGGCGGTAAGATAATAGGGAATACTTAGCATTTAGGATTATTTTCCTAAGAAATGTGAGTTTCCTCCATTCCTTCCTCATTTTGCAGGAGGGTCTCTAAGCAATTAGAGGACACAGTCTCAGGGGAGGGCTTTCATATTAAGTATCACATCCATCAGAATATAATGGTTGTAATTGCTGGGTTGGGCATTCACCCTCCATCTACAGGATCTGGCACAAATAACGCCCCTTTTTTATTACAAAATCTTTTATTGCAAAATCATAAGCATGCAATTCTGTAAGAAAGCACTATCACACTCAAACACACCATGTGACATTTTAGGTGAAATGTTCAAATTAAAACTATAAATTATGACACCCATGTTATTACCCTACCAATCACACTCAAGCAGGCATTACTTCTGCTGGATCCTGTATTACCAACCCCCTCCCCCTGCCCCTCTGATGCCAAATCAGAGAGAGCAAAGCAGGATCAGCCTTCACAGCCTTCCTACCTTTTAAGGAGAGGAAGTTGAGGGAGTTCTTTGAGGACTCGATTTAAATAGGAATTTCTCTATGAATGGACCAGTGTCCACAGCATCAAAATCATTTGGGGGGATAAATGGAGAATTCATCTCCCCAAATCCCACCCCATGGGTACTTATCTCAGGGTAAAATTCACCCAGGAATGTGTTTTTCTGAGCAAGCGTCTTAGGTGATTCTGTTGTAAAGGTCGAAGACACTGGTTTAAGTGCTCCAGAGAGAGACATTTAATGTTGAGGACATAAGCCACCTCCTTGCCCCAGAGGAAAGGATGGATGGTGGCCAGGGAGCCAGGAGGCACCCTTCCTGGTAGCATTGGAATGATCTTTCTTTCTGGTCTTGGGAGTTGGCAACTTGGGCAACTCGGAAGAGGCTCCAGGGAAGGCGCATGGATTGTTTTGTAGAAAATAGGCTGGAGCGGGCAGATCCCTCCACAATGTGGTCTCTGCTGGTTCTTTTGTTGTTAAAGACCATTTAAAAAAGGAAAGAACTTACGAGTTTGGGTCTGCACATTCTCTCCTTGATGCCTATTTTTGGGTAGGCACGGAGCTGGGTGTTGGAGGTCTAGAGACGCCTGACAGTTGATTCCAGCTCTTGAGAGATTTGGAGTCACACACAGTGGTGCGTGACTTCGCTGCACAAGCGCCTTCTGGGGGCTGATTACACACGCAGGTTCTTGGGCTGCAGCCTCAGGGATGTTGAGCAGGGGGGCCCAAGCACCTGCATTTGCAGCCAGACCCTTGGGTCATTCTGCTGTGTCTGCACTTTGAAGGGGGTCAAGTGGAACTCGAATCTGAAAAAGTTAAACAAAAGACTGGAAACCAGCCAGGCCCAGGAAGTCTACATAGACACGTTAGCCAAGAAGTCAGTGACCTGAGACAGACCTTAATTTCTGGAAGCAAGTGTGAACTGGGAAAAAAGGTTAGACACAGATTATAGGAAAATGCTTCTAGAACTGCCCTGGAATACAAAAATGTAAATTGCTAGGAATTTACATCTGGGCTCTGCCAACATGATTTTTCAAAGTATTTCATGGTGTTTTTCATCTGTATTTAATTTTTATTGTGGAACAATAAAATAGATGTATGCTTGCATATTAAGATGTCTTAAATCTTCGAGTTTCTATGAGGCAGGCCCACCACAAACTGATAAAAACTGATGGGCGGGCGTCATTCACACATTTTGTACCATTGTTTGTCCTCATCTCTGTGCACCTTTAGAAATGAGCTAAAGATGAGTTATGTTTAATCCCTTTACTGCCGTGGAATCTCTGTGTAATGGAACAATCAACTAGGTTTAATTACCAATAACAACTGTACTGGGAAATTTGTAATCCAAATGAGGGCTTGGCCTAGGATGTAGCTAATGACGTAACTGTGCTGTACAATGAGGCACAGTCTGGTCTCAATTAGCTTGTCAATTAGTTGTGAAATTCTCCAGTGTGGAGGGAAGCTCAGTGTCTATGGAAGAAGCACAGACTCTGCTCCACAGGCATTTACCCTC